GACTTGGTTCTAAGCTTCAGTGGAGCAATGACATCCAAGGGTGGATAAGCAGGCGGAATTAAAATGATTGGCCAGATCATTAGTGTTGGCATGCTCGGCTGTTTATTGGCAGTTCCTATTAAAAAGTGTGCAGAACTCTGCTGCGCTGTTTTCATTAAAAATGTGGGTACTCCAGGAGCGTGGTGTCCCTGTATTAAAAACTGGACTTTCACTGTTAAAAACAATACATTTGTGATCTGAGACAGTAAAATCCAGTAAATTTATGGAGGATAAAACTACACCCAGGGTAAAAACAAGGTCCAGAGTGTGGCCCCGGTTATGGGTTGGTCCACACACATGCTGTTTAAAGTTAAAAGAAGTTGTGATGTTTGAAAAGTCTGCTGCCTGCGTATTGGTAGAGTCATCAACATGAATATTAAAATCACCACAGAGAACTACCCTATCATGATTTAAAACCAGGGATGATAAAAACTCTGGGAATTCTGTTAAAAAGCTGCCAGGAGGTTTTGGGGGCCGATAAATGACGGCAAATAAAATCGACTGAAAACCAACAAGTTTAAAAGTCAGAGCCTCGAAGGAAGAAAATTCATTAAAATGCAATAATTGACATTTAAAATTCTTCCTGTAAACACATACAATGCCACCGCCACGGCCACTGACCCTGGGTTGGTTAAAACACTCATAGTGTGGAGGACACATCTCAACAAGCAGGCTACAGTCAGTAGGTCTCAACCAAGTTTCTGTTAAAAACATAAAATCTAAATTTGCCAACAAAATAAAATCATTTTAAATAAAGGTTTTGTTGGATATAGATCTGCTGTTGAACAAGGCCATTTTCAGTGAGGTTGTACTGGGAGCTGCAGGTAGACTGTTTGTCTGGACATGTATGAGGTTATTAACATTTTGATGATTAGTGGATGTATTAGGGCATAGATATCAAGTGGTGATGATTACTGGGATGTTCCTACCGAGAGAAGCAGTGCTGGGGTGAGACTGCTTCAGGTGACTGTGGGTGGAGCTGGTGAGTGTTGCTGTGTAAAGTGGAATGGGAGAAGAAGTGATGTGATCAGTGACCAGAGTTGTGTCCAGGTGTGCTACAGGCATAATTTGTCATGCGTGTCTGGTGGCGACAATGGCATGGCGAATGTTTGCAGCCAGAGCACGGGATCCTTGAGGACTGGGGTGGATCCCATCTCTGTTAAAAAATGCTGCGTGCTCCCAGAACAGATTAAAATTATCAATTAAAAACAGGTTATGCAAGGAGCAAACTGACTGTAGCCACGTGTTCAGGGACAGTAACCTGCTAAAACGGCCCACCCCTTGATGGAAGGAGGGGAGAGGTCCAGAGATAAAAACAGACTTTCTACAGTTTTTAAGAAGATTAAAAAGACTGTTAAAATCTCGTTTGAGGACTTCGGACTGTTGGCTGGCGATGTCATTAGTGCCAATGTGGATGACAACTTTTCCAGCGTCTGGATGTTTGATTAGAAGAGCTGGGATCCGTTCCAGCAAGTCCGAGACTCTGGCACCGGGGAAATAGTAAGTGGCAGCAGCGTACAGTTTGATGTTCCCTACCACGGAGTCCCCGATGACGACTGTGGCCGCAGCAGGAGGCTTGGGGCGCTGGGCCGCCGAGGAGGCCCGCACCAGAGGGCCGCACACGGGACTAGGGGGGAATCGTATGGAGCCCGGAGCAACCGGAGGCGCACGCCGCTGAGAGCGGCGGTCAACGGGACAGGGGGTGAACTGTATGGAGCCGGGAATTGTCCGGGGGACGTGCCGCTGAGAGTGGCAGTCAGCGGCTTCAGGAGAGACCGACACCTTGGCCTCTGCTGTGGATGGAGGGAGCGGCGACGAGTCGCCGTCAGACCACGGAGAAGACGGCTGGTTGTATCCGCCTCTGAGTGGTGGGAAGTCCTGCTCGTCCAGAATGGAGTATTTGTTACTAAGCTGCAGGGCTTGTAACGGCGGTTGAGACAGGAACTTCCCTCCGTGTTTACCCTTCCGGGCAGCAGTCCATGGCTCCTTCAGTCTCGCTCCTTGTTGGATCCAGATGTCTGCCGAGTTTCCCTCATGGCATGGGATGGTGGAGTCAAGCTCCCCAGTGGTGGGAGCAGCAGCTGCGGCAGCAAGGCCTACAGTAACCAGCGAGTCCAGAATCCTGTTTTCATCCCTCATCTGGAACAGGATCGATATCCTCCTTTCCAGCTCGACTATCTTCTGGCTCAGGCGGAGGCAGTCGCATCCTGGAGTAGAGGTGAGTGGCGGCATTCCTATGGTGTGGTGGTTTTCAGTGACGGGGTTTACTTGAGGTTCAGTCCTCAGTTGGGTCTCAACAGCAGCAACCATCTTGGAGGTGTTAGTGAGCGATGAAGCTTGAGCTAGATGTTAATTAGCTGCCGGCCTGGAGGCAGATGGTAGAACTTGGGCCTAGTGGAACCTAGGCCTGGTGGGTCCTGGTCCTGGTGGATCTTGGGCCTAGAGGCAGGTGGTGGATCCTGGGCCTGGTGGATCCTGGTCCTAGTGGATCTTGGGCCTAGAGGCAGGTGGTGGATCCTGGNGTGGATCTTGGGCCTAGAGGCAGGTGGTGGATCCTGGGCCTGGTGGGTCCCGGGCCTGGAGGCAGGTGGTGGGTCCTGGTCCTGGTGGGTCCTGGGCCTGGCGGATCTTGGGCCTAGAGGCAGGTGGTGGATCCTGGGCATGGTGAGTCCTGGGCCTGGAGGCAGGTGGTAGATCCCGGGCCTGGGGGGGTCCTGGGCCTGGTCCTGGTGTACCCTGGGCCTGGAGGCAGCTGGTGGGTCCTGGGCTAGATGGTTGCAGCTCAGCTCTGCTCGTGCTCAGCTCTGCTCTGAACCCAATCGAGATGGCTTGGGGTGAGCTGGACCGCAGAGTGAAGGCAAAAGGGCCAACAAGTACAAAGCATCTCTAGGAACTCCTTCAAGACTGTTGGAACACCACTTCAGGTGACAACCTCTTGAAGCTCATCAAGAGAATGCCAAGAGTGTGCGAAGCAGTAATCAAAGCAAAAGGTGGCTACTTTGAAGAACCTAGAATATCAGACATATTTTCAGTTGTTTCACACTTTTTCGTTAAGTACATATTTCCACATGTGTTAATTCATAGTTTTGATGCCTTCAGTGTGAATCTACAATTTTCATCGTCATGAAAATAAAGAAAACTCTTTGAATGAGAAGGTGTGTCCAAACTTTTGGTCTGTACTGCATATATTTATATTCATTTTATTTTTTGCTATGGCGCCATGAGAGTGACAGCAGTTGCAGCTGCTCCTTCTTACTGTCTGTGTTTTTAGCTATTTACTTAGATTTTTTTTCGATCTTTGTAACATTTTAATTTCACACAGCTGTACCACATTTTTGTGGGAACAGTGGAGATGCAGATGGCGTTTTTGTTGGTCTGTTCTTTGCTTTTTTTTGCGAGTTTTTGGGGTCTGCGTCTGGTGAGCCGTTGAGCCATGGCTCTATTGTTTTACACTCGTGAACAGCTGTTGGCACTGAGCCAGGCCAAGCCACCGTCGTGGGAGAGACCAGACATCCCCGTTGAGCTGGAGTAGGAGGAGATGCAGGGCAGGAGTGAAGCGTCAGGAGAAGAGCAGACGCTACAAGCCGTCCGTCCGTCCATCATCATGAGAAACGTGAAGTCTCTCCCAGATGGAAGCGCTAACAGCTGACAGCGCTGACCCGGCTGCAGCGGGAGTATCGGGAGTGCAGCCTTATGTTGTTCACAAAATTATGGCTGAATGAACTCACTCCGGAGTCGCTTGTAATTTTGGACGGATTTCACCTGGTCAGAGCGGCCGGAGCTTGAGGGAGAGTGGTAAAGAAGAAAGGCTGGGGACTCACCATGTATGTGAATGAAAGATGGTGTAATGCTGGGCACGTTAGCGTTAAAGAGTGGCGCTGCATGAAGGATGTTGAACTGCTAAGGGAGTTTTTCGCACGTCCTGGCGATTACAGTTTACATCCCCCGCTCGGCTGATGCTGGTATAGCCTGTGAACTCATCCATAAGTTCGGTGTCCCAGCTGCAAACATCACACCCTCAGTCTCTGATCGTCATCACAGGAGACTTTAACCATACATCTCTACCACTCTCCCCACATTCAGCCAGAATGCGGACTGCCCAACAGGAGACGGTGGGCCTTGGACCTGCTGCGTGCGGACACCAGGATGCATTATTGTTATTTTCTTGTACTTTCTATATTTTTGGATGCTGCTGTGGTGTGTAAATTTCCCCCAATGGGGGATCAATAAAAAAGTATTCTACTCTATATATATTTTTGATCCAGCAGATTTTGTCTTATTTCTAGAAGATCTTTAATAAATCTATGAAAGAACCAAAATGCATGATTGTTTTTTGTGACAAAGATTAATATGTTTCAATGATTCTGTCGTAGAAAAGTAAGAGTTATAGGAGTCTTTGGACATATAAGACTGCTGTGACATACATGGTCTTTACAAGTGTATGTAAACTTTTCTTTAGAACTGCATTTCATGGATTTGTAGAAACTGACTGAGTATCCCTGGCTGTGAGTTTCTCAACCTTTGTGTCAGGGTCCCTTGCAGTGACACTTGATTTGCAGACAGGACTGTAAGAGATTACCAAGACTCTTCACATTTTATTTATTTATGTATTTTAATATATAAAATAAGGGTCGGCTGCTACAAATGTTCATCTTTATTGTATATGTTGTATGAGTTTTTTTTTGTTTTTTTTTAGTTCTCCAAGAAATGTCCACAAGGGACTTGGGTCAGTTTTGTTTGGGACTTAAGACTACATGTTGTGTGGGGCATAGAGTTAGAATGAAGTGGACTTGACACGTGACATTTCTGAGAAAGCAGATTAGCTACCACAGCGCACCAAAGTTTCTGACCGAACTGTTAGTGGTTGCGTCAGATTGAGGGTATTGTAAGTGGCAGGTTTTACAAGGCTGAACAATACAATGACAACGGTAGTATCTCTGAGGAAGTTAGTTTGTGTCTACCTTATTAGCAGCCTCTAGTGCGTTGATTAGCTTGCTTAGCTCCTCTCTGCTTAACTCCATGGTGACAGGCTGGAGGGCTCCATTGTCTCTTACATCCAGACTGAGACTTAGCAGTGGTGAGTGAAGCGATGATATCTTGTCACTGGACAGCGCTAACTGACAAATGAGAACAGAAGACAAGGAGAAAAAATTGAAGAGATTAAATTTGGGCGTACCAGCTTTATTAAAACAACCTATTTATGTTGTAATTCAAAATGCCTCTGTTTATTGAGACAATCTGAATTTTAATATTATTTTTCTTGCCTGGGCTGTTATACTAATGGTGTAGATAGCCAAAAGTGTGCATAAAATTCTGTCAACTGAATTATGTGGGCTCATCTTTGTTTTAGTGGCAAAATGCTTCCTAAAAACCTTTTTATATTTTATTGTATTGTATGTGTGTTGTTGTTATGAAATACCCAACTTGTTCAGTATTGAAAATAGAAAGTATGTCAAAATGAATGTGGCAATATTTTTTAAAAAAAGACATGAATATAAATAATTACGTTTTAAAATACCACAAGTTTTGTTTTCGATCTCCAGGTAAAATTATGCACGCATCACATATTTCGTAGTTTCACTATATTCATGCTCCCAGGAGCAAGTTTCCTTATTGACTATTGACCTCATTCAAGCAGGGAAAAAACTTTGCTAAAGTGAACTTTTCTGAATTAGCTGTACGATATACACCCTTGGTATTTAAGCTCTAAATCAGGGATCTCCAACTCCGGTCCTTGTGAGCTTATCTAGCTGACTTAGGGTGAAGGCAGGTTCACCTGGACAGGTCTCCAGTCTATCACAGGGCTACAAAAAGAGACCGACAGCACACTCACACCTACGGACAATTTAGAATCACCACTTAACCTCAGCATGTTTTTGGACTGTGGGAGAACCCGGCGAGAACCCATGCTGCACAGGGAGAACATGCAAACTCCCCACAGAAAGATCCCAGACGCCCTAACTGGGACTAACCTTGGACTTTCTAGCTGTGAAGACAACTGCGTTAACCACTGATCCACTGTGCAGCCCCGAAAAGACCATTAAACATTGAAAAATAAAGCTTCAACTCACCTTAAGCTGCCACTCAAAGTCCTGCAGAGTAGCAGAGGAGATAGAGTTGGTTCTGTCCAGCAGAGCATGGCAGATCTCCTCCTGTCTGCTTCTCAGAACACTCAGCACAGCCTTAGCATGACTGCTGCCCACATCTGACAGCAAGGCCAGCACCTGGACACAGCCAGCAGGAGGAGACCTGAACACCTAAACCAGTACAGCCTCTGTGCTAAATGGATAGATATTATAACCATGGCTGTAACAACATGCAGCAGTTAAAGCCTCAACGTAGGTAACAGTTGTGTGGTAAAGTGGTGGTTTAGACTGGACACATGATCTTGTTTATATGTAAACATTAGATGAAGTTAGCTATCCTGTCCCGTCTCACCTCTTCATCTGAGTTGCTGCTCTGCACTGCCAGGCGGAACAGGGTTGTCAGGGAGCTGAGCAGCTCCAGCCACTCCTGTAGGCTCCAGGTGCTGCTGTAGTCAGCCCAGCGGGGAGGCTCTCGCCCACACAATCCATCCACCACCCTGTGGCATAGCTTAGCAGCAGACAACATTGAGAGGAGTCTTGCATTTGGTCGTGTAACATTAATCAGATCCATAGGGATTTACAGTACAATGTAAAAGGATTTAAATACTTCAGATGTTTACATTGTTAACTACCTATTGAGGCATCTAATTAGCCCCAAATTATTCTGCAGCAGGACAATGAGCCCAAACATCCAGTCAGAGTCATGCAGAACTGTCTAGCAACAAGAACAACCAGGAGACCTGCTAAGGTAGCCTCAGAGCAGTCCTGATCTCTTCATTCTGACTCAGTGTGAGACCACATGTAGATGCAACAGCTGAGAAGGCCACACTACTACTTGTAAAGTAATGCAGAAGACTGCATACATGTGCACTGAGAACAACCATTCCTTGGTTTTTGTCTGTTTACGGCGCTTTGTGTAAAGTAATCTGATAAATAAAGTATTCATAGCATTTTTTTCCAAAAGTATCCTCATTTTAGTTTGAATAGAATAGGCTGCATAGTTCCTTTGGTATGCTGTTAGATATAGAACATGTAGCAGCTGCACAAGAGCATCATTCAAGGACAGATACAGGACCACACCTGAAACTGAGTTGTTTTCATTTATCTGATTTAAGCTTTTAGTGTTGATGCCACTTAAATAAAACTGTGTTTTAAAAATGCATTAACTGGCTATCAGATCAGATCTATTATTATTCGGATAACACAGGACATCCTGCAGTTGAAGAGAACCTTCCTCCTGACTCAGTGAACTGAGATGAGCTCTCCCGTCTCCTCCAGAACAGCGCTGGCCGCAGATGGAGGGCCGTTGACTCGGACCAGTGTGCTGGTCACCATTTGCTGTACCTGCCTGATGAGTTAAAGCAGGGATCTCCAACTCCTCGTGAGCTACTGTCCCGCAGGTTTCAGACGTTTCCGTACTGCAACACACCTGACTCGAGTTAATGGATCATTAACAAACTTGTGTAGAACTTGATAACAAGCTGTTGGAGATCCATTAATTTGAGTCACAAACATCTAAAACCTGTAGGACTGTAGCTTACGAGGACCAGAGTTGGAGATCCCTCACTTAGAGGAACCAGTTCTAAGGCACGGTGCTGGTCTCAGAGACGGACCGACAGGCCGGTAGTCACGATGCTCGTTCTGTCTGCGTCTGACAACACATAAGATCGGAGCTGAGGACGTGAAGGTTCGGACTTACGTTCAGGCAGTCGCTGTGTGGCAGTCTGCTCAACAGAACCGCCATGGCTCCGCTCGGTTTATGGGTTGCGCTGCGCTGATCAGCTGATGTCCGTCACGTGGAAGGAGGAGCTGCGTTCACGACGCTCGGAAAAAATACCTTCATCATCGCCACTTTGTATCGGCTCGAATATTTGGAGATAAGAAATGCAGTGATGTGTGTTTTGACATATTGGTCATCTGATACACTGTTAACCCATATTAGTGTTTCAACATGCAAATGGAACCTTTTAACCGGATACTTTATTGTGTGTGATGGATCATTAGATGCAGAATATAATACAAAAGCTCAGCGGCCCAGGTCTTATGTCAGCTGCTGCGACTGGAACAGACCACGGTTTAACTAACCATGGGCCGTGACGTGAGTTCAACCACATCCAAGACAGTCACTTGAGAGCAACATTTTTTTCCTCATCACAGCAGCACCCATAGATATGTAGAATAAAGGTCTTTATTCTACATATCTGCAGCAGCACATCTAAAGAACATTGCGCATGCGCCGCTGGCCGAAACAGGAAGTGACGCTGCTGTCGGGCGGAGCGGAGGCGGATCCGGAACCTCTCGTGTGGCTGCAAAGCGCAACGTTTCACGTCCTAATTTTAGTTTGTCTGAGGCTGTTTTGAGCCGTCATGGCCTCACTAAAGATAGCAGAGCGATAAGTTGCTGGGGTTCCAAACCGACGCCGTATGGAAGCGGACAGCGGGGTAAGTGTTCCGATGCCGAGGCCAACGGCAGGCCGACAACAGGCCGACGACTTCCTGCTCAGCTGCTCCACACCGCGTTCAGCTGAAACACGTTGATTCTCACCTGTCCAGTGTGGACACATTCATCTTAACCGTACACAACACAACTCTGGGCTAAAACATCTGCACAGAACTGTAGCTATGAACACAGACTTCCTGATCAGGTGAGCAGTGCCCCGGGCGGTAGGCACTACCGCATGAGGACCAGTCTGTGCCCCGGGATACGTCCGGCCACCTTTAGTTGTAGCACACGCAGCAAATGTGAATCTAGTTAGAGGTTCTGTGCCAAAAAAACATACAGGAATGATAAAACGATACGTGCGTTACAAAGCTGCAGCTGGTAAACACAACGAGACGCTGGTTAGAGCCTCTGTAAAAAGCATCACCCACACTGAGACACTGGTGATCAGGTTGTATTTAGGCTCCAGATGTTCCGTTCCCAGATTCGTCCCGACCAAACCTGTCTGTGTGTGAAGACAAAGTGACTACACGAAGAAGACCTCGCCAAAAAACGCAAACATCACTCGTTAACAAAGTCTATATCCATGTCAATATCATCTACAGAGCAAAACCAAAGGTGCTGACCAAAATAAAACACACATTTTTTCTAGTTCAATGAGAGGATTTGGTATCATGTAGTCCAGAGGTAAAAATACAAGTTCAGTGTTTTACTCATTGTGCCACCGATCAGCTCCAGTAGGATCCTTGTCATTCCTATGGATTTTTCCATTTTGTCAGGTGTTTAACACCTGGTGGTTATTCAGAAACCACGCCCAGATCAACTGCTGATAGTCACAACTTAACACAGACACATGCTGCCTGTTTAATAACGACATCCAGAGCGAAACCTGAAGCGTAACTCTGGTCTCTTCACTGAAACACATGCAGCAGCCTCCCACCACAACAACACGCAGCGCAACATTAGTTTGGTTTGATAAAATGCATCAGAACAAACTGAGGCCATTGTTGTCAGAACTACTCACTGAGAAAACATTACAAACACGTCCAGTCCTCCATGTCTTGACCTGTAGTGTCACACAATCTTAACTGCTGGTAATATTGATTGATTTTTTTTTTTCTAAAGAAGAAATTTGAAATTTTTCTAAAGAAGGATTTGAACTCTGGTCAAAAGTCATGATATCTGTGTTTTATACGCTTTACACAGCAAGTTACAAACGTCTACTGTTGAACTACTATTAAATTAGACCGTTACAGCCACAAATATCCCTGTTAGACACTGAAGTCATCCTGCTGTCATATTGCTATGTAGACCAAGGCGGACGAGGAGAATGTCATTAAATCAAATCCTCTCAAAAATACAATTCCCTCTCCATTTACGATCTGACCTCCACATGTACAAACTGTGTGCTGAAGATATACAGTGTTTTGGCTGAGTAGGAATGAGAAACGAGTCTGTGAATTGTGAAGTGTTATTTATTGTATTTTGTAAAAAGTGAAAGAAGTAATTCACAGTTTGATTCACATGCCAGCTCTGAGTGAGTAGTTCTGACAACGTGGCCTCAGTTTGTTCTGATGCATTTTATCAAACCAAACTAATGTTGTGCTGCATGTTGTTGTGGTGGGAGGCTGCTGCGTGTTTCAGTGAACAAACCCGAGTTAAGTTTCAGGTTCTGCTCTGGATCTCTGACACTGAATACACAGACTGACACACAACACAACACAAGATAACAGTTACCATGGTCTGGTCATAGGATGGCTCACAGGTGTACTTTCTATTTGCTATGTAAAGATATGATGGAGTAATGGCATCCTTAGCAGAGAATGATGTCACACTTTTTGTATGTTGTAAACCTTACACCTCTGTTCTATGTTTTGTCAGTCTTCTGTGCATGTTAGTGCACGTGAGCTCATGTAGTTGGACATGTTGGACCTCCCTTTGTTTATAAACAGATGAAGACTTTGCAGTCTGGAGTGTTCAGCTGGTGCTCCAATAAGCAAAGATTTTTTTAACAACTACAGTGTTTCCTCTAGGATTTTTTCAGCAGTGGTGGCAGGCTCTCTGGGGAGCCGTGGCGGCTTAAACAAATGACTGCAGAGTTTACTTTTACAACCGATTTATTGAATGGCCAGTTGAAAATGGCTTTTTAAAGGCTGAATGTAAATTTAAAAAATAACATAAAATAAAATGTAATTAAATAAATAAAAATAAAAACAATAAATAATAATTTCTTGATGGGGCTGTAGAATCAGTGGCAAAATTTGCACCCAGGCTTAGAACAATGAATTTTTCTGGGTGTTTTTATCGAAGAGCTCTAAGGCTCTGTTGTGGGGAAATTCTCCGAGAGGTGGCCGCTGATGCTCAGTAGCATGCTGGCTGCAAGCTGATCCCCTGCAGCCTATTTTGGAACATTCCTATCAGGACAGAGTACAGTGGCATTATTGATCATTGCTCTTACAATGGAAATACACTGAATTAGTTTATTTTTATTTAACAGAAATACTGACATATATATTATTCAAAAAAATAAGAAAGGATAAAAAAGGTTCTGGGACACTCCCCATTATCAGTGTGGTAGAGCCTTGAGTGGATACGGTTATTTCTTTGAACCCATGTCGGGTCCCAGCCTGACAGCCTGTGCTTCCCTTTAGGTTCTCCTCCTCCACTCTCATCTCTCTCTCTCCTGCTCCTCCAACTCGGCTCTCCCCCTGCTGTACTCTGCTCTCCTTCACTTTGTTCCACTGCTCCTCCCTGTCTAATGTTACTAGTCTTATACGATTACATAAAACATTAACGTTAGATCATTTACACTCACATTACATCGGATTACAGTGAACACTTTTTTTTTTTTACCGAACATCATCATTGATGAGTCAGTAAAAGGCGAATGATACCTGGCTCGCGTCATCTCCATCAGGTGTCTTTCTCTTCTTAGAGAAATATTTGAACAAGCTGATCTGAAGATGCAGTCAGCAGTTCCATCATGGTCTATAGATGTTAGCTTAATGCTCTCAGTTAGTTTCCTCACATTAGCGACACTGAGTTGACACCGGGCCCAATTAACTTAAGATACCGATATGTTATGTAAGCTGGCCATCAATATTTTGCGAATGTCTATTTAACTTATCCCTGCCTTCGCCTGAAGTCAGCTGGGATAGGCCAGCCCCCCCGCGACCCTAGTGAGGATTAAGCGATGTATAGATAATGGATGGATATTTAACTTGCAAAATCTGCTCTGAGTTACCTTAAGCTAATAAGTCTTACCTTTCCTCCGGAAAGTCCTATTCTCCAAGACGACCCTCCTCTGACTCTCTGACCTGGAGCCTGGTGCTAGACATGATGTCACTTTCAAGGCCACGCTCTCGCGAGTAATTAACGTCGTATTAACCCCCCAAAGAGTAGAGACTGAGCAAGATAGTCATCTGTAGTTTACCTTAGTACATCTCGTGAGTACCTGACCCAGTGCAGGACTGTGCTGTGAAGGTGGAGACATGCGACGGTGGTGTATTTGCGTCAATTAAAAAAAAAAAAAGAAAAATAGAAAGAAACTTGAAGGAGCGTCGGCTAGGATTTAGGAATGGCGGCCCGCCACTCCTAAATGAATGTAGAGGAAAGAAACACTGAACTATATGTATTTCACTTATGTCGTTACCCTAATTCAGTGATTCTCAAACTGTGGTGACCGCTCTATGTGTGATTTTTTTATTTTTTTTTTTTTTCTTGGAAGGCCAAAAATGTAGCAGGCGGAACTACTGTATTTTTCGGACAATAAGGCGCACTGGATTATAAAGCACACTGTCAATTAAACATGTCTATGTTCACAAACCCACAAATTCTTCATCTTCAGTCTCTGAATTAAACAGCTGTGCGATGTAGGCATCAAACTTGCCCGGATCCCTCTCTTCATCATCCGAGTCAGTCTCGTTGCCGATACTTTGCTGTTCGGTGATGATTCCAGCTTTACAAATGTATTGTAATATAATGTTGAAGCACCATATGTATTTCCTATAAAAAGTGGCGGGGTTAAGCGTACTAAATACTGTTGTCTGGTCGGTTTATTGTTGCCTGCACGTGCTCCGGGCCCAGCGTTGTGCCGAAAAAAGCGCCCCCTCATGAGGAGCCCAGTTGGGTCTGCCGGAATATGCACCCCCCTCTATTTCTGACCCCAAAGGACTTAAAGCCGCCAAATTCACAACATTTATTGATGATCATGGTGTGAGCATAATCTGAAAAATTAAAAATGCTGGGACCAACAGGGACAGATTTATATAGGATATACTACAATTTGTTACTGTTTTGAAATGATGTGCAGTAGAAAACAGGCTTTTTGTAGCCACTAGTACTGTGAAACTGAGTTGAGCCATACAAATTTAAAGATCTCATCTTTCTTGCCAAATTTCTGCACTTGTTTTTGTTTCTTTGCACAGGTTGCCCCTCATGTTTTGAGGATTAACCCAGATTGAATTTATGGTTGTTGTGATTGTTCTAAAAAGGTGTTTGCACGTTTCGTTATATTTTTATTTGAGAATGCAGTCTGACAGAGTTCAGGTTGAAGTTATTTTCTTATTTGCACAGCAGACTGAGGATATTTTTGCAATAAAAGGTAAACTTGACCCATTTTGTAATAATTTTGTTGGGGTGGGGGAATCCTGAAATCTTTTCCTCTTACAAAGGGGGGTGCAACAGAAAAAGTTTGAGAACCACTGCCCTAATTCATGTACACTTGTTTCAATACTGTGTGTCTGTTTCATTGTGTGTGAATCTCCTCTGCTGTGTGTCATGGTGAAACAGAGACACACAGACCAGAGTAAAGGACAGACAGAGTGAAGATACTGTTTCTTGACTTGACAAAAACTCATTATAGCCCAGTGTGTTTAACAATGCTAGCATGGGCTTATGGTTGTGGCTGTCTTATTTGTTGTAGTCTCTCATGTTCACAACCTTTGTAAATGAAAGCAAAGTGATGGAGGAGGTGAAGTTGATGTAACCATTTGTTGTGGTCTGACATTACCTTTATGCCATTTTGTGTTTTTCTCACTCTAGGATGAGTTTATTGTGAAAGTCCAGTGTGGAACACACAGTAGCCAACGGCCTCAACGGAGGGAGCATAGGCACACTCAGCAAGAGCTCCTGCTGTATAGATGGAGCGGTTCCACTGGTTGCAGCATCGCTGTCGACAGCTGTTGGCAGGCAACTCTGGGCAAGGCTGGTACTCTGTGCCTGATGGACTATCAAACAAAAGCTCCCTGGACAACCACAACTCCCAACACAGATTCAGAGGGAAGCGGAGAATGGTGTTGGCCTGTCATGGGCCTCACCAACAAGAGTTCCAAGCTGTTTCCAAAAACTATAAGGGAAATGCAATCCGCACTACCAAATACAACTTGTTGACTTTCATCCCCATGAACCTGTTCCAGCAGTTTCATAGGTCAGATTTTTACTTTTGCAAGAAGTAGAACTTTACTTATGAGGGCCCCAGTGAGTGTCAGGAAGGCCCTTCTTTAACGAGAGGAATTCTTCTGCTTCTTCTTCTTGTAGATGAATCACATTTCTGAGGTCACAGAGAAACTCATGAGACTTTGCAAAGGCATCAGAGATAATAAATTAAATTTTTTATTGGTCTTGGGCACGGGTGTTTAAAAAAAAAAAAAGAAAAAAACTCTCAATAGTGCTCCTACAAAACCTGGAATAACTAGATATATGTTAGATGTACTAAGTTTTTTTTTTGTTGTTTTTTTTGCCATTTGCAGCATTTGTATTTAATGAAGTTAATAATGAATAATTATATAATAAAAAATTACAGTAAATTCAAATGTGCTCTGTGTTATCCAAAGACCCTTGCGATGCAAAGTTATGACAATTGTATATTTTTTTGTATTCCATTGCTGTGGCAGTGCAGGGAACCTAAATGTTGTGCTGTTAAAAAGAATGTTTTTGTACCTCAGTTATATATTATTCAGTGTAAGAGGTTAGATATGAGCGCGATATTACTGGTTGCATCTTCAATTTTATCTCTAAGTATTTGAAGAGATCTGCCTGAAATTATCTTCTGTGGCTTTAACTAATTTGCTGCTCTGATTTTGCCTTTGCAGGGCTGCCAACCTCTATTTCCTGTTCCTAGCATTGCTGAACTGGGTGCCAGTTGTTGAAGCGTTTCAGAAGGAAATTACCATGATTCCTCTGCTGGTGGTTCTCACTGTTATTGCCGTCAAAGATGCCCTGGAAGACTACAGACGGTACTTGTTTGACAAAAAGGTCAACAACAGTGTTGTGCGAGTGTTCTGCGGGTGAGTGAACCTCTCTTAGCTTTAGAGCCCGTTCAGGAGCAAATGGGGCTTTCTAACATTATGCATGGCTAAACTGGTATTAAATTACTTTAAAATTGTTATTCAAATTCAATTCATGTGAGGTCCTTTTAATGTACATGTAGTTTGTACACAGTTGGCTGGAGAGGGATTGGTAGGTAATGCTGAATAATGAAATCATCAAATTTTAAGAACAATTTCCACATTCTCTGATTTGCATGCATTTTTTTTTTGGAGCATAAAATGTGTATATGTCTAAATTAAAAATATCTGAAATTTTAGCTTGATATACTTTCAAAATAAATTTTTTTTTAAGTTGACATATGAACCAATTTTAGCATGTTTATTCGTGCATTAAAATCCGAATGACATTGTCTTGTTAGAGATAAAATCCTGAAATGTTCATTGTTTTTTCTTGCCATGCCATAGAATCAAAGCTAAATATGGAAGAATTGAAGCATGGACATGAAAAGTCCCATCTTTGAGAACACATTAGCAAAAATATTAATAATGCAGAAGTAAACTGGTGATATTTTCTAAACCATGTGTAGTTGCATGTCACAATACCACAAAACAAAACAAAACATATAGAGTAGTTGGTCATAAAAATGTAAGTAAAAGTTGCTTTGGTTTGACTTCCTAACTCATTAAGCATGCATGTTTGAAGTTGTACAACAAAATCAAAAAAATGTTGCTAGATGGCCTTGTCCAAATAGAAGAAAATTTCTTTGGGAATTATTACTACATTAGATCATTAGAATGACATCAGGATAGTATAACCATGACTAAACACATAGACCTGTTATCTATTATTGTGACATGCATCTCGCGTGGTTAGGAAAATATCCCGAGTCAACTTCTGCAATATCAATTGTTTTGTCAATGCTTACAGTGCTTAAATCTTTCAACTCACCCATAATCAGAGATAATTTGATGTACATGTCCAATGTTGCAGATATGAAACAATGTAATGATGAGAAATAACTGTAAAAATTTCAGGCTTTTACTTTTAATACTGCCTGAGATATTCTCATAGCCTTAAATTTCAATGTATGAAAAAATGTGCTGGTCAACTGATTGGTAGTTGGAAAAAAAAGTGTTGGAAGGTACTTGATATATCAGTCTAAAATTTCACAGATACTGTTTTAAATATGCACATTTTGGAATAAAAAATGTTTCAAGCAAATCAGAGATGGTTGAGCAGAAGGCACCTGATTATTTGAGATGGAATAACCCAGTACTAACATCCCTGCTCTGGTAAAGGTGGAACCTTTTATATACTGAGTAAAGTGCAGTAGTTATACCAGCAGTAGCTATACCTTGCTGTCAAAGGTACAAGGCGTGACAGCAAGAGTGAGCAGAGTACTGACTGCTTTAGTACACAACCGTTATTATAATAGTGCACTTTGGACACGTTGAGGAGAGGAGCATGATGTGTCAGTGTACCTGTAAAAGTTCAACTGCCATAAACCAGCTGAAAGGTTTTTTTTTGTCACTAATTTTAGTCCTGAAAACTTAACAATGACTGAACCAAGTAAAAGTGATACTGTATCACTTATTGGGCCATAGGGCCAACTAAACTGTGAAGACAAAAGAACAGGCCAAGCAACTCAGTGAAAATATATTGGAAAGCATACAGTCAAGTTCATGAATATTTGGACATTGACACATTTTTCTGCAATTCGGCTCTGAACACCACCTCAGTGGATTTGAAATGAAACAATCAAGATGTGCTTTAAGAGCAGATTTTCAGCTTTAATTTGATGGTATTTACATCCAAATCAGTTGCATGTAGGAACTGCAACACATTTTATGTGTGCCCTTTTCCTTTATAAGGGACCAAAAGTAGTGGGACAATTGGCTGCTCAGTTGTTCCATGGCTAGGTGTGTGTTATTCCCTCATTATTTCATTTACAAGGAGCAGATTGAAGGTCTAGAGTTCATTTCAAGTGTGGTATTTGCGTTTGGAATCTGGCGAGGTCAACTCTCATTATTATATGTGTTCAGAGCAGAAATACTGAAAACTGTGTAAATGTCCAAATATTTATGGAACTGACTGTTAGTCAGGGGATGGATACAAAAAAATTTCAAGTCGCTAAATACCTCTTCGGGTACCGGTAAATTCAAGAAATAAAGAAATGGAAGGAATATGTCACATGTGTAAACTGGCCCAGAGCAGGGCGTCTTCAAAATTTGATTGACTATGCAAGAAAGAGATTAGTGAGGGAGGCCACCAAGACACCTATGACTCCTCTGAAGGAGTTGCAAGCTTCAGCGGCTGCGATGGGAGAGACTGTGCATACAATAACATCTGTATGGGTTCTTTACCAGTCTAAGCTTTATGGGAGAGTGGCAAAGAGAAAGCCACTGTTTGGTATGTAGTCAAATGAAAAAGCTGCTTTGGACTGATGAGACTGAAGTTAAGCTTTAGGGCAAAACAAATGCAGCATAGTAAAATCCTGGATAACATCTCCAAAAGTCTGGAGAAAAACTGTGACATGGGAGAAGATTTGATTTCCTGCAAGACAATGACCTGAAGTGTACAGCCAAAGCTAAATAGAAACAATTTTAAGACAACAAAAGAATGTTCTGAAGTGGTTGAATGAAAGCCAAGACCTAAATCAAGTGGAGAATTTATGTCTGGACTTGACAAGGGCTTTTCACTCACAATCCCCATGCAACCCGATAGAGCTTGAGCAGTTTTGCAAGAACAAATGAGGTAAAATTGCATCCAGATGTGCCAGACTGATTGAGACAGGCTCAATGCCGGGAGTGTTATCAAAGGTGCATTTACTTAATACTGACTTAAAGGGGGGTGAATAGTTAGACAATCACTTATTTTACATTTTATGTTTTTATTTCATCGACATTACTTTGTTGAAATCTTTTTTCTATAGAGTGATTTTGCAAAGTCACAATACTTAAAACTGAGTGTATGTTTAAAATGGTCATTGGTGACATAGTAGTTTCTGCATAATGTTTGTGTAAGCAGTGACATTTGGATAGGATTGTTACTCTTCACAATATTAAGCTAAAAACACCATCTGTCCCTGACATGAATCAAAGTCTCTATTCACATGTGGGACATAAGAGGCAAACTTAGTCACCTGTTTTAATGTCCTTTGTGTTTACTCCCACCATTGGCCTGGACCACCTCATATATGACTTGAATGTTACACATTCTGATCTGCAGTAATTTTTCCAGTAATTCAGGCAACACATACACATGTATCTAAAGCTTTCAGTGGTACACAGGATTTTACAACAACTCAGATGAAAGTCTGGAAACTGGGTGAGTGAGTGTTATAACAGTAATATTTGTTTTAAATGCTTGAAAGCTCTATGCCACAGTTCTCTGTGATATTTTTCAAACATTATACTTAGTCTATCTATTATTTCTTTTTTCTGTTTCAAGCACCTAGGCATTGCAGTAGCAATTCTAACACCATTGTAAAGTAGTTGATTAATTTTATTTTTTGGAACAATTTTTCTGTAAATAACAGTAACAGTTACCTGAGGGCCCCACCCAACTTTTTAGTTGATATTGAAATATATTTTTTTCACTGCGTTATGTTTTGCTATTGTATCAGAAATTGTCTGAAAATCTGTGGAATGTGAGTGGTGTTAGTACCAGCTGCCAAATTTCTGTTAATGTAAAATCCCTACTTGAAGTGCTGTCAGGTAATCAATGACAGCACAGTTGTTGGTGCTGCTGTGTGGCCCTCCTTCCTGCTATCTCATTATACAATCTCTCCTTTGAGGCAGCAGTAAAACTTGAACTTTGAGTTTGTTTACAGTAGAAGTCCACTTTAGAGGAGTGGCGATGAATTCATCACCATTCAGTCCATCCCCTTCCCACCTAGCCTGTCCTATCCATGCTTTATATGAGCTTGACTGGGAAATCAGAATAATTGAGGAATGAATTTGAAGAAAGGACAGTCTGAAAGTAGAGTCAAAGTATTGTTCGGATTAGAGCTGGAGTACAATTGCTGGGAACTACGGCTTCTAAGTGGTCATATTAACTAGCTGGCAGAATTCACTGGAACTTATGTATAGCTTTGGGCGATCGTTCTATCTTCATTCTGGAAAGGAGCAACTGTGGAAGAAGAGGACGGTTGTACCTCATTCCACAGAAAATGAGGAACTGAGTGAGCTCCTGAAGTTGTATAAAGGCAACAAGATCCAGACCACAAAATATTCTATCTTATCCTTCTTGCCCAAGAATCTGTTTGAGCAGCTTCATCGCTTTGCCAATGTTTACTTCATCTTCCTTGCTGCTCTAAACTTTGTTCCTGTGGTGGAGGCCTTTCAGCCAGAGATTTCTGTGATTCCTATTATACTGGTGCTGTCAGTGACGGCTGTTAAGGATATTTGGGAGGACTACTGCAGGTTTAAGATGGATTATTTGATCAACAGGCTTCAGTGTCATGTTTACTGCAGGTAGAGTAAAAGCTGTTTTTATATGTCTGTGTATTCTTCTGGTCTAACCTGTAATTTTAAGAAGGCACTCCCTTGTCTGAGTTCTGATCCTGCTTTAGTTGGCTGTGACATGGTTAAACTGGAATGAATTACCACAAAGCGTTTGACAACAACAACAACAAAAAAGGTTTTACTTACATGATATGCTCTCGCAATTTTGAAACGATAGTCGATTTTAGAATACATTTAGAAAATGGGCCTTGTGTTATACAATTTTCAAGGTAGAAAAATCAATCCTCAAGGCAAAATACAAAGAGCAAGACTGGACATAAACTATAAGGTAGTTTACAATTAAATTAAACAGAAATAAAATGTATTAGAAAGTTACAAAGAACATTTATTTTACTGTCACCGTCTTTTGTGCTGTTAACTATGGTCAAAGGTGGTCAAAAAATTCAAATCAGGACTTCCAAGTGAGGCTGCTTCTAAATCTGAATCACAATCCATTTTATGTCATTATACAATGTATAATGAAATTGCACATGATTTTCCTCCTTATCTAG